AAAAAAAAAAAAAAAAAAAAAGCTTAAAAAGGTAAGATGGATTTGAAAGTTGTGAATGATAATGAACAAAATTTAACAATTTAAGATGATAAGATATAATAATAATAATAATAAATAATAATAATAATAATAATAATAATAATAATAATAATAATAATAATAATAATAATAATAATAATAATAATAACATCATCAACAACAACAACAACAACAACAACAACCACAATATTAATAATAATAATAATAATAATAATAATAATAATGATAATAATAACATCATCAACAACAACAACAACCACAATATTAATAATAATAATAATAATAATAATAATAATAATAAATGTTATTATTAATTACTAAAATATATTATTTGGTAAATACTGTTTTTCGTGAAAAATACAAAATAATTTTTATTTTTAAATGATATTAGTCAGATATAAAAAGATAAAAAAATAAGATAAACTTAGAAAAAAATATTCCAAGTTACCTATTAATGAAATAAATCTTTACCAACCAGATAAAATTGAGATATTTTCATATTCAAATTCCTAAATCCAATTGATCAACTATTTGATATAAAAATTTTCGCACTTTTTGTAATAAATAAATAAATAGCATACTTTATTTAATATTAGTATACAAAATACACAATTTACAAATATTAAACTCTACTTGTAACATTCAAGCCACTTTGATAATGTTTTTATAAAATTATAAACATAAAATAAAAAAATAAATTATAATTCATAGTATATGTACAATTGATTTACACGTTTTGAGATTGTTTTCCAACATTGCTAGTCTGATTCTAAGCAGTCTTCTGACCTATCTTCTGAGATTGTTTTCCAACATTGCTAGTCTGATTCTAAGCAGTCTTCTGACCTATCTTCTGAGACTGTTTTCCAACATTGCTAGTCTGATTCTAAGCAGTCTTCTGACCTATCTTCTCAGTTTTCAGTTGTTGACCCTACTGTTCAGCTAAGGGCTATGTATTTTACACACTTATGTGTTTTTATTTATAATATTCTCTATTCTAAGCAGTCTTCTGACCTATTTATTTATAATATTCTCTATTCTAAGCAGTCTTCTAACCTATCCTCTCAGTTTTCAGCTATTGGCCCTACTTTTCAGCTAGGAGCTATGTATTTTACACATTTATGTGTTTTTTTATTTATAATATTCTCTATCGTTTCCCTAAAAAAAAAAAGAATGATAAGGCCATCTCCAACCGAAAAACCCAAACTCAAACTCATTTTGCAGTAACTATCTCATTTTGCAGTAATTCATCTCCAACCGAAAAACTCATTCTCAAACCCAAAAGAATATTCCCAGAATATTCTCTTTTACACCAACTTTTATAACTTTTCAATACTACCCACATATTTTACAACTTTACAAATTAAACCACACTATTATTTTAAATTCAATTTGAACTTTATGTAATTAAAATTAATTATAACTAATAAAATTAAAGAAATAAATATTCATTAAAAATTAAAATTTCGCCACACAAATAAAATTAAAAATTACAATTCTCAAGATGAAAAATTAAAAATTACGGGAAATAATATGTTATTCATTATTCTAATGAAATTAAAAAGGGAGAATAATATGTATATTTTACATTATTATTGTGGTACATCTAAAATTAAATGATAAACATAATATTTATTATTTAAAATATTATACTATCTAATTTTGATGAAATTAATTATTTTAATATTTTACATTATTATAATATTATTATTATTATGAAAAAATATATAATTAATATTCATTATTTGGTAATATAAATGTCTTTTTTATGTGTTAAATAAGCTTTTTAATATTAATATGATTTGTAATTTTTTTTACAAAATATACTAATATATAATAATAAAAAAATAATAAATCAAACAGTAGTTAATAATACTAAATACAATATATAAAATACATATATATTTCATATATATTATATAATATTTGGTTTGATATCTAATTTATACTAAATAATGGATCATTTTGCAATTATTAAAAGTCCATACGCAAAATATTTTCCTTGAACGCAAATTTGCGTTTCACGGAGGAGAGAGAAGGCCAAAATCGGATTTTGCGATGAGATTTGCAGTTCGATTGGAGCAAATTTCCCTCACTTTTTGCGTTATGCGAATCGGTTGGAGAAGGTCTAAGAAGTAAAATTCCAAATCCTAAAAAAGAAGCCACCAAATTTGCATGTCTTACAAAATACCAATGTCACTTGGGATGTTAGTCAAAAGGTAAAGAGAACCAAAGCATGTGACAACAACAAAGCAAACAAAACACAGGTGCTTTTGCTTATCCCCATGCTTTGACCAAAACAACCATTAAGCATAAAATTCACTGTTAATTATAATTAAAAGACTAATTATAATACTATCTCCTTTTTTAAATAAATGTCGTTTTGACTTTTTTGATTCATTCATTTTGCTATGTATCTAGACATTAATATGTCTAAATACATAGCAAAATGGATGAATCATAAAAGCCAAAACGACATTTATTTAAAAAAGGAGAGAGTACAAAACAAGAGGCAAATTTGAAATAGATATTTCCACTGGATTACAAGTTACAACCTTCAACATTCAATCCAATTCATACTTAAAAAAAAAAAAAAAAAAAAAAAAAAAAAAAAAAAAAAAAAAAAAAAAAATTAGATGTCACAGCTGTTGGAATTTCAACCAAAACGAGACCCCAACTCACTGAGTCAACCCAACAAAAACACTACAAAGTAAGAAAATACTATCATCAACACTAAACAAACCAAAATAAATAATAATACCCAAGTCTTTATTTCCTATATTTTTCCATAATTCCATTTCCAAATTGGAAACAAAAATAGAAAATTATTTTGCTAATTTTCTTATATATTTTATTTTATTACCCCAAAAAAACCCAAACAAAATATTATTTTGATTTTTCTTTTTTTTTTCATCATCATCTAACTTTTAAGTTTTAACTACCACCTGCAAATTCCTATACCACTAAAACAAAACTAAAACAAGTTCTTCTTGCACTTTTTCTCCAAGTTTTTCAAGAATCCCACAATATAATTTCAGTAAGTCCACTCTTGAGGAAGACTAAATTCTTGATTTCCAGCTGCTTGTGGCCTTATGATTCTCCCCTGATAAGCTGCCATTAAAGTATCTCTCTTCTTCAGATAGGCATCTGCAAGTTCAGATAAACACAACAAAACTCAAAAAACTAATTCTTGTGTGAAGAATCATCAACATTAGCATCAATGGAGTCCATGGAGCACAGATAAGCATCTACAAGTTTAAGAACAGTTAATGGGCAAAAAAGTTTACCATAATCATGGGTGAAATTTCCTAAACCTCTGGTCTGAAAATGAGCATCAATGGAGTCCATGGTTTGATTAACATAAAACCCTGCAAATTTCACAAAAACATTAGTACGCAAATATGCCATTAATGCACTCACATCAACTCGACGCGGAGAAATTTAATGGGCATTAAAAATTGTCAAAGAACGGAAAGCTACCTTGATTCTTCGGGGTTTCAACCGGGTTCGGGTCGAATCTTCTCGGCATGAAGACACCGGTTCCGACCCGCTCCTTTTTCGGAGCAGTTTCTCCGAGGAAACCCGTTTTCACTCCGGTGACGGTTTGCTGCCTGGACTGTTGTAATGTGGGCCAAGCCGACGAGGACAGGCCGTAGGATAGATCGCCGCCGCCGTTTCTCCGAACGCTATTTTGCATCATAATCGTCTTCAACTGGTTCTGTTTCATCTGCTGAAGCTGCTAATTACAAAAAAAAAAAAAAAATCAGAACACTAAATAGTGAAAAAAAATGGAAACAGAGCAACCGCTGTAAGAGATGCTGACTGACCTTTGTAGCTTGCAGTTGATGGTGGTAAGAGAGGTGTGTTTGGGGTCGGATCGGGTAGAAGCCTGTGCTCGGATCGTTCTTGAGCTGGGTGACGGCGACGAGGCCGGGCTTGCGGGCTGAAGAAAAAAGTTCGTTCGAGTAAAGCGCCGCCGCTTCTTCTGCCATGCGCATCCTCGCGACCTCCTCCGCCGCCGCGTAGAGCACGTCCCAGCTCAGGGGACTTTTGGCCTCTGGAGGCGAGCAAGCCCGGGAATCGCAGTTTGGGCTGCCCCGAGAACCCGGTTTGAACCCGTACAGAGTCGACTGGGGCGATCCGGATAGCTTCAAGCCCTGCAGAGTAAAGCGAAAATTAATTAGATTTGTTCTGTACAGTTCGAAATGGGGAAACCATAGATTAAAGATAGCAGAGAAACCATACCTTGGCTGTGCAGTCGCATGAAATGTCCGATTCACCCAATCCGGAGCGAGCCAACTTCCGGGTCAACTCGGCGACGATATCGTCTTCATCGGCCCCACCTGTTTCCAACGAACCGGTGACCGAATCGACCGGGGAACTCAGATCCGAGCTCAAACCGCCGGAATTCGCAAACCCACCGCCGAAATCGGTCAGCAGGTCGTCGTCGGTGAGCAGCTCCGCCGGCAGCAGGAACTCCAAATCGTCAATTTCTTGGGCCATGGCTTATCAACTTCAAAAACCCAGAAAAAGAAGAAGGGGGAAATACAGAGAAAATGTTTCGTTTGTGAAGAACTCGCAGACAGTGAATAGATGTCTGCGGCGGTTGTTTGCTGTCTCCTCAAGCTTTAATTATAGTCCCTCGCCGGTTTGAAATGGGGAAAAAAAAGTAGCAAGGACCCAGCAGATATCAGAGAGAGAGAGAGAGAGAGAGAGAGAGAGAGAGAGAGAATGGCGGTTTGTGGAGAGAGAAAAGGGAGTAGCAATAGGTGATGGGCTTTTTATAATGTGAAAAAAATGCTTATGCTGGAGGAGGCGCCACTATTTTTCTACACAGAGTGGTGGGAAAAAACTGAAAAAAAATGGTGGAAAACCCTAAAGATGGAGAGGCGAGTGGGATTTACGCGCGGAGCAGAAATTTTTTGAATTTTTGGGGAAAAAAAAAGGAGAAAAAAATATTAAATTTGGGGAATTCGTTGGAAAGAGTTACAGACAGGTAGAGAGGTGGTGGAAGATTGGGGTGTGTGGTGGTGGGGCCATGGACCGACACGTATGAGCCATGTGGGCCCCAGGCGAATTACATTTTATAAAAATTGTGTGTGTGTGTGTGTGTGTGTTTTTGTTCATTCTCATTTGAAATACAAAATGGTGGGGCCATGGACAGACACGTATGAGCCAGGTGTGTGTGTGTGTGTTTTTTAGCTAATCGGATATATGTAGTATTGTATATAAGAGTGTGTATAGCACTCACATTGATTGGGATCCATCAAAAATAAAAAATTAAATGGGCCACTTCACGTGAGTATTATACACACCTCTACATACATTTGTTATGTATTTGTAGCATTTTCTTTGGATAATTTGACAAAGTTTGTAAGTTAATTGTAAATGGAGATTGAGTGGTAATGACAAGTATATTTTTCTTGTGTTATTTTACGAATTCAGCCTACGAAAAAATGTCGGTAATGAAATTAATGTATTTTACACTAGTAGTGTGGAAGTTTGTGCGGTTAATGCAGACTCTAGTTGTGGTGTCTTGTCCTTCAGAGTCTTCTCAAAAGTGATATTTTGAATACCATCATTAAAAATAGGCAAGAAATGACGATGCAAGAGAGAAGCACGAACAACCTTAGACTCAGAACGAAAAGCCATCAATCTGAATAAGATCAAGATGGTCCAGATGAATATCAACTTGTCGGAGACGATACCAGATAGGTTGTATGTGTCCAATAAACTCATTGATCGATTGACTCAGTTGTTACTTGGCGGAACGCAAGGTGCTTCAAAGTTGATAATAGTGAGCCAGACCCGTAGTCCGAAACCGAGCAGCCAAAAAATCTTAAAACTCATTCTGACCATCAAACGGAGCATGATGCACCATATTAACAAAGACTAAAGTGTTATATAGCCAAGTAACTGATGGTTATTACTATCTCAATTCTCCAACTAATCGACATATGCCCTAGCCTTTGGGGTGGGGTTGGTATCCCCAAGACAGATGCACATGTGGCAATACTAGGGATGGCAATGGGCCCCCGAAACTCGAAACCCGATGGGTAAAAACTCCATTAGGAGCCGGGTATGGCTATAATTTGGCCCCATGGATCTGTTAATGGGGGAAAAAGTCCCCCCATCGGGTCTAGCGGGGATGGGTCCGTTCCCCCTCCCCCCATACCCGTTAACCCATGGGTATAATGTACCCGATATAATTTGGCACAATATATGTTTTGGCCCAGCCGAAAAGACTCAGCAGACAACAACACTACTAATCCCTAGATATATAACTAATAAGAGGCAATCTCAAGAAAACTTAATTAAATATACAATATAATAACTACTTGTGTATTATTTTGTTTATCCCTAGTTATTAAATATACAAGAAAACTTAATTCATACTTGTGTATGAATTATTTTCAATATTTAAACACTTTCCTTATTTTGTTTAGCCCTAGTTATTGCACTACTTGTGTATGAATTATATTTTCACTACTTAAGTTATTATGTACACTACTAATCCCTAGATATATTTTTTCAATATAATTTGGCCCAATATATGTTTATTGCTTCTTATTAATTAATTTAGATCGTTCGAGTTAGTTATTATATTCATCGGGTCTGTGTCACCCGATGGGTACCCGTCACCCACACGGGTGCCGGGTCTGGGGGAAATCTGGACCCGCGACGGGTGATGGGGGCGGGTGACGGGGGTATTTTCCTTAATGGGGACGGGTGACGGGGGGGTCCCCCCAGCGGGTTTGTCACCCATTGCCATCCCTAGGCAATACAACACCAATCAATTCTCCATAATAATTTTTTCTCAATTAAAGATTTTTTTTCGTAAATTGTATCCAAATGCTATAACTGCATCCTGATAAGACAACTCGAATATGAAAATGTACATACATACAATCGATATCCAAAAACATATCAACACTGAGAAAGATGAAATCTAAGTACGAATCGTACCATGAATCAGGCAAAAAATCAATACTGACATAAATTAAAATTGTCACGAATACCAAAACTGTTTCGACCATAATAAAACCAACAATCACGAGATTCAACGGTGGCAACGGAAAAGGAAATGGATCTCACGTGCCGGTTGAAGCAACCGACACTATGGCGAAGATGAGGCGCATGTGGGCCCTACGTGCCGACTACCAGCCTACAGTTTTCGACGAAGGCTCAAGTGGAATGCCGAATAGGATGGTTGGGTTGGTAAGAGTCGACAATGGCTGGAGACGAGTGTCGAAAGACATAGCTTATGTTTGACCCTAATCTTAGTTTAATACCATGTGAGAATGTAAGAAAATTATATCTTAGTTTAAAACAATGGCTGGAGACAAGCGCCCGAAGTCCTGCTCGAACGATAAGGGGCATACTTCGGACATATGCCCTGGGACTCCACATGCCCCACAAGTGTCAACAGCCATAGTCTGCACCGACTGAGCTCCTCGTGCGTTAAGTAACCTCATCTGCTTTGTAAGCTCGACTAACTATTGGGCCATCAAGTCATTGCCCGTTCCGACCTCGTTCACTGTCGCTCTCTTCCCTCGGCTGCTCTTCTGCGACGAGTCCGTGCTCATCGTCTCAAATATGTCAAACATCTCCTCAGCCGTCTTTGGCCCAATATCCCCTCCTGCCACATTGTCAACCATATACTACAAGTTCTGGTGGAGGGAGTCGTAGAAACAGCTCATCAGTAGCCCCGAAGAGAGATTGTGATGAGGGCACTACCATTGGAGGTCCTTGAACTGCTCCCAAGCCTCGTGAAGAGGCTCATTCGGTAATTGAGCAAATGAAACGATCTGTGAACGGAGCTCCTGGGTCTTTTGATGGGAGTAGTACGTCCCAATGAAATTTGAGTACACTTCAGTTCAGGTAGTGAGAGAGTTCGATGCAAGCGTCATGAACCATGCTTTGGCACGGTCCTTCAGTGTCTAGGGAAAACACCTTAACTTCAATTGCTCCTCATTCAGCCCGTGGAGAGGGAAGGTCTGGAGAAATTGTAAAATTCCCGGATGAAGTTAAGCGGGTCTTCGTTGGGGAGCCCGTGGAATGACGGCAGTTGGTTGTAATGAACCATCTTGAGTTCATAGTTTCGTGCAGCTTCCCTAAACGAATGCATAAAGTGATTGGCCCGATCACCGTTTGGGCTAAGGTTCGGGGAGTGTTACGAGGTGGTGGTAGAGCCATATCTAGATTTGTTGGTTCGGATGGTTCTAGGCTAAGCTTGTCGAACAGCTCCCTGGTACGCATACACAAAGAAGAAAAACAAGAAGATAAACTAAAGAGAAACAACCAAACAAAAGAATTATTAGACTAACAAAAGAAACAAAGAGGAACACGGGAAAAAGAAAAATCACATGAAATAAGAGAAACACTAAAAAAACGAATAGGTGCACAATTAAAGTCCTAAACCTTTCCCGGCAACGACGCCAATTTTGTTGTGAGTATTTTACCGAAGTAGAATCAAAATTCGTTCCCTGAGTCGTATCGCAAGGAAGGTTAGTCGGATTTAAGTGTATGATTATTCGATCACGTAAAAGACAGACAAAGATCCTAAACACTCTAATTCAATAGTTTTTTGTTTCAATTATTAGCTAATGACTTTAAACTAAATGAAAAATAATTTAATTAGCTAACTAATTCACTCAATGATTAAAGAGCTAGGGAACCGGGTAATCTCGATATCAGGTCTCGGCTCTAGCAATCTCATCCTCGACCGACACAACCTACCTCCTAAAAACACAAACACAGAAAAACACGAAGCATAACACAGCAAAAAGACGCACAAATAGAACTAACGAAAAAAACACAAAACCAATGAAAATGGACCAAATAAGCTACGAAAATCCTATAAGTGGGGAAAAACAAAAGGAAAATAAACCAGAAAAAAGACATAAAAATGTGACAAACAAAACGTGAGGAGGCTGCCTTCGCCGGTGGATATCGTGCCCGACGCGATTGGGGTTTACTACCGTTCTTCACCACATGTTGGCCACTAGAGCGCATCGGCTTTGAGGGCGAAGCCTTCTGAACCAGAAGAGAGTGGTAAAGACTAGTATATAGTATTATTATCATTATTATTATTATTATTATTATTATTATTATTATTATTATTATTATTATTAGCATTATTATTATAGGTATTTTGAAGAATAATTTAGGAATTAAATATTGTTATAAGAGATCTTGTCTTGTTCGACAAGGTATGGATAAGATTTAGGAGTCTTATTTAATTAAATGGCTTCTCATATGTTGTTTTATTCAGTTTAAGTTGAGAATGAAATAAGATTTGATTGGTTTTATTGAAAGAGCATATAATTTATCTTTTTCATTCGTACGCTTCCCTACATCAGATGTATATTCTCACATTAAATATCGTAATCAACACGAGTACCCTAGCTCAATCGCCAGACAATTCGACCCCATTTCTATTCATTGTTACGCAAGTTCATCGCTAAATATTGAATTTTAACAACTTAACTATTTGATTACCA